CAGGGACGAATGTGAGGACGGGTGTCAGTGGGCGTGAGGGCCATGCCAGCCGCCTCAACTTGGGTTTGCGGTGTTTTAGGTGCTCTTGCCGCCGTCAGCCGCGTCCACCGCCCGCCCCGCCCTGCTCAGGTAGCTCCTTCTTGGAAGGTGCGGGCTGAGTCTCCAGGTTTGTCCCGGTGGTCCGGTGGACCCATTCCTTCCGCAGTCGCCGCTATGGAGGGCGCCCCGGAGGACGTCCCGGAGTCTGGCTCCTCTGCCCCCGCGTCCGAAGAGCCTGCGGGCTTGGCCAGGGGCCCCGAGGTGTTGCCTCCCGAGGAATCGGACGGCTGCGCCCGGCCGCTGGAGACTGGCCCCAAGAAACTCTGTGGATACTTAAGTAAGTTTGGCGGCAAAGGGCCCATCCGGGGCTGGAAGTCCCGCTGGTTCTTCTACGACGAAAGGAAATGTCACCTGTATTATTCGCGGACCGCGCAGGATGCTAATCCTTTGGACAGCATCGACCTCTCCTGTGCGATCTTTGACTGTAAAGCGGACTCTGAGGAGGGGATTTTCGAAATCAAGACTCCCAGCCGAGTTATCACCCTGAAGGTAAATGGAACGTTTTTCTCCGTTCCAGCCCGTGTCAGGTCTCAGTTCTCAGGGCACGGCCGAGGGTGGGTGGGTGAGCACGGTAAGTTTACTTGAGTGGTGGTCGGTGATCGCCATTGGAACGCTGTGCTTTCGAAAGCGCATTCACACTCATTTCCTCATTGGGTCCCACAGGCAGGGATGACTGACCCATTAGATGGATCAAGAGACTGAGTCATAGGAGTTTGTATGATTTGCCTGAGGTCACACATCTAAAGTGGTGGGGTCCACACTTGGAATCCTGTCGTCTTTCTATCCCTCAAGGTTGTATCAAAACTCCCAACGTTTGGGTGTGTCTTTTTAAAAATGCAATCTTTGCCACCTCCTCTTAAGGCCAGAACTCTGATTCACTCTTTCTTGGTGTTTTAGCCAAGGAAAGTGAATGCTGATAAAACGTTGGCAGCAATTGGAAAGATAAACACTGTAGGTTTCGCTGATCAGCTTCAGTTGCTCATCTAGGCACGTCTAAACCTGTTTTCCCATCAGCAGCAAAGGATACATTTTGTTTTATCATCAGGTTTAACCCACAAAGCCCGAAGCAGTGGAAAGTACTTTGAAATCTGACAGGCTCAGATTCAAATTGCACATTTGCTACTTACTGGCTGTGTGACCCTGGGTAAGTTACTGAACCTTTCAGAATGGAGGTGGTTTTGTAAGCATTTGGCACCTCACAGGCACCTAATTAATTGTCGAATTAATCCTGGCACCTGGAATATGGCCTGGCACTTAATGGTAGTTAATAAATATTTGTTGAATGGACACAGGGTGTGGGAATCAAGGTCAGAATGCCCATGTCAAGAGGAGGCATCCCATAACTTAACTGAAAAGACAGATCTGAGCTAAGCAACCAGAGGGAGCCAGAGAAGAGTGTGCCAGGGAGGTAGCCTCCCCACCCCATGCCCGTCGTCCCAGCCCTCCACGCCCACCGCCAGCTAACTGAGTATCTGTGGATGCCCACAGCTTTGGTTCCCCTCGACTGGCCGAGGTTGGCCAGTGAGCAGGCTGAGGAACAGTTAAAGTTACAGGAAAGGAATTCAGGCCCTGGAATGCATTTTAGGCACCATGTGATTCTCACATGGTTCTCAGGTCTTGTGTCACCTTCTGCAAGTTGAGTGCTGTGCAGAAAGTCTCAATCATGGTTTTTACTCCTCCATCAGTCCACCTGTGTGCCTGGCTCTGTGCTAGGCTCTGGGGCTTGGATCCAAATCAAACCTACCCCCCAAGAGCTCAGACAGGTTCAGGGTTGGTGGGAGAGACTGATGGGAAGCTGGCACTCACACTAAGACGTCCTGTAGAGACACCGTCCTAAGTCTGTACAAGAAAACCGTGGTGACAGGAGGGGTCCGCTTCACCCAGTGGAAGGGGCTATCCAGAAAGGTATCATGGGGGACGGGTGATGCCTGAGGCTTGGAAGAAGAGAGAGGTTTCTGACAAGTAGACAAGAGGGAGAAGGGTGTTCCAGGCTGAGAGAGCCCTGCGACCTAAGTTAGGAAAACATGACATAGCTCTTCATGTCCAGGCAGATCACAGCCTGCAGCATGGTGGGGACCAAAAAGATGGAGTTGGAGAGCAGAGCCCGGGCGCCAGGCCTTGGGAGTTAGGCCAGGGAGCTAGGACTTTGTCCTGCAGGCCGTGGAAAGCTGTTAAGGAGCCTTAAGCAAGGAAGTGCTGTGAAATTAGAATGTTTCCGCAGCTCAGTCTGGCTATTGGGCAGAGAACAAATTAGCTGAAGGCAAGGCTGGGCCTCAGGGAGCCCATCAGGTGACCAGTGGCTGCACTGGAGCTGTGCTGGGGGCAGGGGACAAATGGAGGTGACCTGGGATGTTGGAGGATGGGATATGGAGAGACAGCTGGAAGAACTGCAGACCACAGGTTTGGTCAGGCACTGGCAGGAGGAACCCAGAGTGACAGCATACAGGACATCCACATCTGCATCCCCCTCAGTAGACTGGCAAGTCCTAAGAGGACAGCGACCATGTGTGTGGCTCACCGCAGTATTGCCAGGGCCTAACCCAGTGCGACACATACAGTATACACTTGAATTCAATGAATTCGTCAGTGCGGTGTTCAGGTTGCCTGAAGCCGCTCAGCAGTAAGGGCATGGTGAAGCCCTGGGAGGGGCAGATGCCTCTCGAGGAATGTGTATGGTAAGAGGAGACAGACTGGTGGCATTGTTCTATCTTCCTGTTACCTGCACAGCAGGCGGAGGGCCTCTTTCATGGAGCCACTGGCCTGGCCCACACCTCACCTGCTGAATTCTCTAGAGGCAGAGCTTTCTCTGGATGCCACGAACCTACTGCTCTTGTCACCTGGCCTTGGTCGCGGGCAGCTCTGTGAGGCTCACCGTCCACTCTCTGTGAGCTTCTCGTCTTCTGTACCCACCTCACTGCCTTCTTGACCTTAGCCACAGATCTCCTGGCCCTGAATTACAGCTAAGCTCTGGTCCCACGTTGTGGCCAGGGTTCGGGGACTGACTCTACTGCCACATGGCTCGGCGACTAAAGCCTTGGTTTCTCCATGTATAGAAAGGACTGACCTGCCTTGCCTCCTTCCTGGAGAATCAAGTTACTGGATGTAAAAGTGGGTATGTAGGCCGCCCGTGCTGGGAGACCAGCAACCAGCATTTACTGTTAACTCGTTTGAAGTGCCAGGGTGCCTGGAAGAAGTCACTTGTCCCCGTGTGCTTTCCAGTCCCCATTTATCTCCCGTGATCTCATTGTCAGAGCAGGAGGGATGACCCCCAGTCCACAAAAAGACATCCGAGACTTGGCGATGTCATACGGATGCCAAGGATGGCTGGAAGAACTGCCAAGGGCCTGGTTAGGTCAGGATGAGCACATGGGACATCCAGGTATACACACCCCTGAACATACGTGGTCCCTGTCCTCTGGGAACTTGCCAGTCTGCTGTGGGGAACTACCAAGTCCGAGTTCCAGAGTTCCCTCTCATAGCATCTCCTAAGTCCTCTACCAATGAGCATGTTTGAGCAGCTACTGCGTGTCGAGTACCACGTGAGGCACTTTACTTCACTAATCTCATTTCATTGTCATAACCACTCTGTGAAACGGGTCTTATTGTCCTCATAGTTCAGATAAGCAGGCCCAGAGAAGTTAAGAAACTTCTGAGTGGGAGACCAGAGCCTAATTATCTTCTGTGGCCAAGAGGCGTGTTCAGAGGTGGGTGCGTATCCAAATTGTTCTTTCTGGGAAGGGGAGAGTGTGTAAGTCTCCTGCCACCTTCCCCATATACCATACCCTTTGTCACCCTGCAGGCATGAAGCCTTGCCAACTAATCCTTGTGCTTCTCAGGCCGCCACCAAGCAAGCCATGCTGTACTGGCTGCAGCAGCTGCAGATGAAGCGCTGGGAGTTCCACAACAGCCCACCTGTGCCTCCCGCTACCCCTGACACCGCCCCAGCTGGGAACGGACTCACCCTGCACCTCGAGCTAGGTACCCAACGGGCTGGCCTATTGCATACACACCCGGGATTCTGGTGACCAACCTTCTCCACCCCTGTAGGAGTGAGTGAGAGGAGCCCTCTGCCAGGGAAGCACAGAGCCAGGGATGTGACTCTAGATTAGTGAGAGCAAGAATATGGGCTCTGAGACCAGGCTGTCTGTGTTCAAATCCTAATCCTGCGTGACTTTTGGCAAGTTGCTTAACTTTCCTGAGCATCCATTTCCTTCCCTGTAAGATGAGGTTAATAAATTATACCTGCTTCTTAGGGTATTAGGGAGATTAAATTAACCCATCACCTAAAATGGTTAGAACAATGGCTGTACGTACCAGAGCCCAGTAAACATCATTGGTGTCCTTGTCAGCCTCCTCCCTCTAGCCCTTAAGGGTGGGGACCATCTCTTTGTCACCTGTGTCCCCAGTCCTGGCTCCCTGTTGGGCACACTGGCTATTTGCAGAGTGAATGTGTGAGTGAATATATTGAATTTTATAATTAAATGAGGAAAAGCGTGTATAGCCCTTAGCATATATGTCAGGCAGAGAGTAAGTGCTCCACACCCACACATGGCAGCTGTCCTAATCATGCTGTTATTATGTGTTTGTGTGTGTATACATGATTGCTGTCATAATAGCACACACACCGACACACACAGACTGTGACGATGATAATAGCTGCCCATCTCTTTGTTAATAACATTCATCAGTCGTTTCTGCAGGGAACCTTTCGGAGGGTTTCTTTGCTTCTGCACTTGTGCTCTAGCTGTCAGTCCGCAGTGGCTCTGCAGCCCCAGCTGTGCAGATATTGCAGCCTGAGCTGTCACACTTGCTGAAGGTTAGCCTCAGACTGGAAGTGAGGAGGACCCCTACTCCCCACTAGCAGAATTCCTGAGTCTCTTGAACTGAACTTTGACCAACCAGATTATTGGAAGTGTGACTCTGGGATCTCATAGACCTCTTCTGCTGTGGCAGCCTGGCCCAAGTTCTCAAATCCTGTGGCTTTGCTTCAGCACGTGCACTGAGTCTCCTTCTGGGTCAGCCCCTGTTATGGGCACAGAGATGGGGGCAGGGCGCAGATAGTTGCCATGATGATTAGGGTGCCAGTCTCCCCAGAAAAATGCCGGTGGGAGGCTCAGGAAGCGGATGTGAGCCGCTCCTCATGGATCCTCTATCCACAGCGAGCCTGCACCCTCCCAAGCCAGACTCAGGGCCTGTGCAGCACCTCCAGCCCGCCCAGAAAGCCATTTCTGGAGTCTCAGGGAAGCTAGCAATCCTGGATTCGCTGTCTGGAGCAGGCTGCCTCACCTCTCCAGTCTCCACCCTGCCTGAGGAAGCAGAGATTGCTCCCAGGACTGCAGAAACTCCTGACCCACATCTGACTTTGAGTCACAGGGGCTCCATCTTGCAGAAAGTGTCTCGTCACTGCCCTTGAGCAGTCTACAAGGCATGTTCTCTATGGCTTTTAGTCATTGATAACCTTCTTTTATACCCCACCTAAACAATGGTCTTCACAGAGCCAAGAAGGATCAAAGGGAAGCCAATAGATTTGCAGTAACCATAACACGTTGCCAAAGCAGGCTACCATTTACCAAGGGCTTTTGTAGATGTGTACCATCATTCAAATATGCACAGTGTAATGATGGTGCTCTTACACTTTGTGTGCTTCATCTTATTTAATCTTCACCATCTCATGAGCTAATTGTGCTATTCCTATTTCACATAAGAGGAAACTGAGTCTCACAGAGGCCAAGGACCTACACCAGGTCACATAGTCAGAAAATGTTAATGCTGAAATTTATTCTGTTTGTGTGTGTATACAAAGCACAGGAGGCAGCCAGCCTCCTCCATGGCCCTCCAGAGAAGCAGCAGCCTCTTGGCTCAAACCCTTTTATGTCTCGGCAATAACATCTTCCCACTGGCAATGGGCTAGAGACTCAGGCAAAGAATATTTACAAATTGGGACCAGCAGATGCCATAATGGCTACATCACTGGACTTCCATGTAGTCGACCGCAGTTCGAGTCCTGGACCTGGTGGGTTAAACTCAACCTGGACACAGGTGCATGTGTGCACAAGATCCCAAGAGGAAAATGGAGAAGAATGGATTGTGGTGTGGCCATCCCCTCTTGGTGTGTGTGTGTGTGGGGGGGTGATTCCTCGCTTTCTGTTTCTCTCACATACACCCTATAGCAAAAACCTCTAAAGAAAAAAAAAAGAAGAAGAAGAATAGTTACGAATAAATCTGCAGAAGACTCTGTAATTACCTCACTGAGGCCATTTCTCCAGGCTAGAGAGGGGCCCAGAGGCTGCAGACCAGTGCCTTGAGTCATCAATTCTATTTTGCGGCCCCTCCATCTTAGAACGATCTGCTTGTTTAAAAACCTGCTTTGAAAAGCCACACAGTTTGGGGGGAAAAGCAAAAGTGAGGAGCTGCTTATGATTTTATGACTATGTCACCTGCTAGCTTTGACCTTGGCCATGCGACTCGCCTTCTCCAAGCTACTATTTCCTCATTGGTAGAACCAACCAGTGGTGATGCTTAACCCACCATACTTAGTTCTGTGGCCTCAGAGTAGCTTGAGGGCCACAGGTAGGGGTCATAGGAAAACAGGTAATGATAATTAGCGAAATACTTGCTAAGATATTAAAACCTTAGACCAATAGGATTTTTTTTTTTTTGGAGAGGTTTTTGCTATAGGGCGCATGCACTCGCCAGACAGACAGAGAGACAGAAAGCGAGAAATCATCCCCCAGAGGGGATGGCCACGCCGCAATCCCTTCTCCTCCATTCTCCTCTCGGGATCTTGGGCATGCATGCACACGCGCCCGGCGTGAGTTTTAAGGCACTGGGTCCGGGATGCAAACCACGGTCGACTACATGGGAGTCCAGCGACATAACCGGTACGTTAACTTCTGGTCCGACCAATAGGAATTTTTATCTTTACTCTGAACAAGAAAAAATAAAGATAGTTAAAGTATCGATAAACAAGAAAATCTTACTTGTTTTGAATCAGCTCAAAACCTGGACTAAAGTCTACTGTGAAAGATGAGAATCCATAGTATGAGGCTTTATGTTTTTGTTGCCGTTTTCAGTTTTCTGGTATAGGGTGTCTGCACTCACCCGAGAGAGACAGAGAAGGAAAGTGAGAAGTCACCCCTTCCCAGGGAAATGGCCACACTGCAATCCCACTTTCTCCATTCTTCTGTTGGGATTTTGGGCATTCATGTACACGTACCTGGTATGATTTTCAAGCTGCTGGGTCTGGGACTCAAACTGTGCAGTCAGCCATGTGGGATCCATCCACCTGGCACAAGGCTTTATGTTTTCTAAACATTTTCATAGACTTTAACTCTCAGGAAGACGTTTTTGGTTTGTTTTGTTTTGTTTTGTTTTGTTTTGTTTTGTTTTGCTGTAAGATGCGTGCATGCACCAGAAAGACAGAGAGCGTATCCTTTCTATTTTCATAAAGTGATTTCCAGGTCACAGAACCCTGGCCTGTTTCTGTGGAGAGGGCTCTGTGAAGCCTCAGCCAAGTGCAGTACTTCGGACTCCTGCTCCAATCCCCAGGGCTCTGGGCTTAGTCAGATGAGGTCTAGCCTCTTAGCCACATCCACTCCTGTTTGGCCTTCCCAACCCCATCACCCCTAGGTCCCTCGCTCCATGCCTGCTCGGCCCTGGATCTGGAACCCTGGCTGTTGCATAGGACTGTCCTTCCTTGCTCCTCCTGCAGGGCTAAATCAACTCTGGCCCCAGGGCCCACTCCAGTGCCCCTCCTCTAGGAAGTCTTACCTGGCTTGAGTCGGAAGGACTCTTGTCTTCATCTCCATCTCCCTGAACTGTCCACCAGGCTAGCCCCCGGTGTTCCCAAGGCGGGCACTTCCTCCCTGCTCCTTAGGCTATGAGCTTCCTGATCCTTCGCTCATCCCAGTTTCTCCAGCGCCACGTGGAGGGCCGAGTGTACACCAGTGTGTGTTTTGTGAGAGGGCGAATTGAAGAGCTTACGGTGTTGCCAGATACTGGCCAGCCTGCCAGGTCTGAGGGAGCCTGTGAGGAATTAACAAGTGTGTTGTCCTGTGTGACTGCTTGCAAAGTGTGTTTTCTTAAGTCATTGAACGGTTCTCCCTGGCCACCACCATTGTGCTTGGTTTTCTATCCACACCCTGTTTACAGACGTAGGGCAAGAATAAATTTTCTCCACTTTAGTAAAAAGACTCTGAGTAAAAGGGTCAGCTGCCCCATGACTCCAGAGGTGCCTACTTACGATCATACCACACCTGGGGCTGGCAGGCGACGTGGTGGTTAAGGGCGCTGGGCTCCCATGTGACTGACCGCAGTTCAAGTCCCAGACCTGGTGGCTTGCTTTCTCACCTTCTCTCTCTCTCTTACTCTGTCCCTCTCTAGTCAAATTAAAATGCATAAATAAGTAAAGTTAAATAAACTAATTCTTAAAAAATATCATAAGTAGTCCTGATTCTTTTCCACTTTTTCTAACATTCAAAACTAACTTCTAAATGTGTCACCTCTTTTATCCTTCTTTATTTAAAAAAAAAAAATGATTTTATTTAACTTTATTTATTTATGTGTTTATTTATTTATTTTTAATTTGACCAGAGAGGGACAGAGTTGAGAGAGAAAATGAGAGAGAAAGAGAGGGAAAGTGAGAAAGCAGTCTGCCAGGCCCAGGGCTCGAACCCTGGTCGGCCGTATGGTAGTCCATCGACCTCAACCACCACACCACCTGCCGACCCCATATGCTTCAAATAATGTTTGGGTCTTGAAGCCTCTTAACATTAAACTTTCTCTTTTATAAGAGTGAGATATAAAGAGGCATTTTGACAGGGTCTCTCCTGCTGCAGCCCTCCTGCCCCAGCTTCCCATTTAGCTAGGACTACAGGCACGTGCCACCATGTTTACAATGGCCCAGGATCCCAGCCTGGGCTGTCCATGTGGTGCCTTACCATCCGTGCTGCTGCCGCTGGGCCACAACTAAACATTTCAAGGTCACTCACTGTTGAAGAATCATTGTTTAAACAACATTTGGAAAACAGAAGGAAAAGCAGAAGAAAAAGTACCCGTAGTCCTATCGCCCAGGGATAGACAGTGTTAACAGTGCTCTATGACCTCCTGCCCCCACCACCACTTTCTTTCAACCTATTGTGGACTATGTAGTAAAACATGTCCTGCTTGGCTTTCTGGTACTCAGTATTGTGACCCTAACATGTTTCCAAATCTCTGTAAACACCTATTTTTAATCACTATATTTCTCTTTTTTTTTTTTTTTTTTGAGAGATTTTCACTGTAGGGCGCGTGCGCTTGCCAGACAGACAGAGAGAGACATAGAGACAGAAAGCGAGAAATCACCCCCCAGGGGGGATGGTCACGCCGCAATCCCTTCTCCTCCATTCTCCTCTCGGGATCTTGGACACGCACGCACACGCGCCCGGTGTGAGTTTTAAGCCACCGGGTCCGGGACACGAACCACGGTCGACTACGTGGGAATCCAGCGACATAGCCATTACGCTAACTGCTGGTTCCCACTATATTTCTCTTTATAAAAGTAACCTGTTTACTATGAAAATTTTGGGAAAAAAATCTTATCTTGCAGCTCTGACCTCTATTAAGACTTTGGAGGGGAGCCAGCAGGTGGCATGGTGGTTGAAGGCATTAGACTCCCACATGGCTGACCACGGTTCAAGTCCCAGACCTGGCAGCTTTCTCTCTCTCTCTCTTTCTCTCTCTCTCTCTCTCTCTCTGTGTGTGTGTGTGTGTGTGTGTGTGTCTCACTCTGGTCAAATTAAAAATAACAATAATGATAAAATGATAAATAATAAAATAAAATAATTCTTTAAAGAAAGATTTTGGAGTATATTTCTTTAAGACTTTTTCTATATAATTGTGTTCACACAGTTTTAATTCTTTTTATTGTACTATAAGGTGCGTGCACTCGCCTGACAGAAAGGGAAAGTGAAGCGCCCCCCACCCCAAGGGCCATGCCTCAGTCTCTTCATCTGGATTTTCTTCTTGGGATCTTGGGCACATATATACACATGCCTGGTGTGTTTTTTTCCAAGCCACCAGACTTGGGACTTGAACTGTATAGTCAGCTACGTGCGACCCAGCCACTTTAACCACTATTGCCACCAGCTGGCTTTTCACACTTACTATGATATCCTGTACACGTTCCCTGCATTCTTAAACATTCTTCATTAACAATAGTCCATGGTGTGAAGGCATCATGAATTAAGTTATTTTCAATTGGAGGCTATTGGAAACAATGCAACACTAACCTCTTAACACAAAAAGATTTTTCTGCATTTCAGACTTCTTTAGGATAGATTCCCAGATGCAGAATTATCTGTAGGTCTGCAAATTTTTAAAGAGTTTCCAAGAAAGATAAGCCAGCAAAATGCCCCCACTTTACCGGCCGCAGAACATTGGGAGAAAAGTCTCTTGCTGCTCCCCACCAGCAAGGCAGCTCCCCAGCTCCAGGCTTCTCCCAGTCAGGGACCCTGTAGCATCCCACCTGTGCAGTCCTTGCTAGTGCAGCGGCCTGGTGGTTAATCTGCCTTTCCTTTGTTCCCCAGGGCAAGAGGAGGAGGATCCGGAAGAGTTCCTGTGTCCCGTGAAAACACCCCCTGGGCTCGTGGGCGCTGCAGCTGCCTTCCAGCCAGCCCCTGCCATGCCCTTGGCCCTTCAGAATATTTCCCTCAAGCACCTGGGAACTGAAATACAGTGAGTACCAGTGGGGCCAGGGCCTGTCCAGGCTGTAAGTAGCCCCTCTGGGGTGCTTGTCCCAATATGACTTCCCTGAGAAAAGCTGGGCCAGGGGAGGGAATTATGGGCTTTATTTTCAATTAATGAGGGCATTACTTTAAAATATTACAGTTGTTATTCTGATTAAAGTAGTAAATGTGCATTGCAAAGAATCAAAAACACCTGGAAAGGTACACATTAAAAATTACCTATAATTCTGTTACCCAAACATTCTTTGCATCTGTTATCTCTCTTTCCTCTACATTTTATATATATATGTACACACGCGCACACACACACACACACACACAGAATTGAGATCATAGTAATGGTTTCACAAATGTCTATAGCAAATGCGCCGAATTACTCCCTTTTAATGTTACCCAGACAAACATTCTCAGCATCTGTTATCTCTCTTTCCTCTACATTTTATATATATATATGTACACACACGCACACACACACACACATACACACACACACACAGAATTCTTTTTGCTATAATGGTTTCACAAATGTCTATAGCAAATGCACCGAATTACTCCCTTTTAATATGAAATTTATAGTATGTTAATCATATCTCAATTACTTTTTTTACTTAATGTATTTTATATACACTTTCTCATTGTTGGACTTCATTTTATTTTATTTTTTTTATTTACTTATTTTTTTGGAGAGGTCTTTTTGCTATAGGGCACATGTGCTCGCCAGAAAGACAGAGACAGAAAGACAGAAAGCGGAAAATTACTCTCCGGGAGGATGAGCACACCACAATCCCTTCTCCTCCATTCTCCTCTCGGGATCTTGGGCACACATGCATAGGCACCTGGCGTGAGTTTAAGCCACCAGGTCCAGGGACTCGAACTGCAGTCGACTACATGGGAATCCAGCGACATAGCCATTACGCCAACTGCTGGTATCAATTGGGCTTCATTTTAAATAGCCCTGAAGATGGGCTTTGAAGCCAGATTGCCAGGGTTTGCATCTGGCTCCCTCTGTCATGGGCTGTGCTGCCCTCGGCAAGTTGTTTAATTTCTCTGTGCTGCACTTACCTTAGTAGTAAGTATGAATACAGCAGTGCTTGCTTTGTAAGGTTATTGTGCATCTTAAAAGGGTTAGTGCACACAAGCTGCTCTAGAACTGTTCTTGGCAATTATAAGCACACAGTACATATGAGCTACTGGGACCAGCAGATGGCATAATGATTACATTGGTGGACTCCCACATAGTTGACTGAGGTTCAAGTCCCGGACCTGGCAGCTTGAAACTCACACTGGGCATGTGCATGCAAGCCCAAAGTTTCAAGAAGAGCGTGAAGGAGAAGGGATTGCAGCGTGGCCATCCCCGTTGGGAGAGGGGTTCTTTTTTGCTTTCTCTCCCTCTCTCTCTCTCTGTCTCTCTGGCAAGCACATGTGCCCTATAAAAATCTCTAATAAATAAATTACATATGAGCTGTTGGCCAGTGTTAGTGCTTTAGATGAAAGAAGGAAGTTTTAGGAATCCAGACTATACCCAGTACTGATCCTGTTTGGGCCCTTATTTTCTATGTTGTCTGGGACCTCTTAGAAGGCAGAACTAATTTGGATAGGGACCCCTGGCTTGTGCAACTCAGGCAAACTAGTTTCCTCTGCTGGCTTCAGTGTTTATGTGCTTGGGTGGCAGGAGGGTGGTGATGCCCTTCTCCAGAGAGAAGCAGGTTTAAGGAAAAGGCAGTAAGTGTCTTCTGAGGCCTGCTGGCTGGAGGTAGAACTACCCCAACAGGGTCTTGGAGCCCAGGAGAGACACCTGAGCTGGAAAGAGGCTTGAGAGGGACTGGTTGAGACCTACAGGGTGCATGGATGAGGAGGTCCCCTGCAGGAGCTGAGGCACCCTGCTTGCCAGGGTGAAGAGAAGGCCTAAAAAGGCCAGCCAGCGTGCACCCAGGGCAGTCTTACCAGGATTAAGCCAAGTTCGTGCCTGATGGAGGCTGGCACAGCAGAAGTGGAACAGAGAGAATGCAGAGAGCAGGAAAGGAAATTGCAGAGAAGCAGTCACTTCCCTCCTGTCACTTATCAAGCCCACAGCAAATGTAAGAGTGTTGCAAGCATGCCCTGGGGTGTGAGAGCTGCAGACAACTGGCAGGTCAGGGTTGCCTTGTGTCCTGCACCCCGTTACCCTGGCTGGTCTTGGAGCTTGCTACTGGAGCCGTTGAGAGCCTGGGACAGACTCTGGGGAAGCTTCCTGGGCACTGGGCTGGGTGCTCACACTCTCGCTGAGTTGTCTGGAGTGGTAGCAGATGTGGTGCAGTTCTCAGTCTCTGGAGTTAGACATACAGGTGTGTTGCTTAGCCCACCATGTACTCGCTCTTTGACTTGGTTACTGGCTTTTTTGTTTGTTTATTTTTTTGTCATAGGGTGTGTACATTTGCCAGAGAGAGACAGAGAGGGAATGTGAGAAATCACCCCCCCATGAGGATGGCCATGCTTCAGTCCCTTCTCCTCCATTCTCCTCTTGGGATTTTAGGCATGCAGGCACACATGCCCAGCATAAGTCTCATGCCACCTGGTCCAGGAAACTGCAGTTGGCCATCTGGAGGTCCGGTGCCTTAAACACCTTGCCACCTGCTGGCCCCCTTGGTTGTTGTCTTAATCTGCTTTGTGCTGCTGTGACAGAATACTACAGACTGGGTAGTTTATGCAGAAAATTAATTTTGGACTGACTCCATGGTACATTGGTAATAGGCTGCTCAAGAGGAGCCAGATCCCATGGTGACCATGACCCGAGTTCCAGGCCTGGTCAGCATGAAGCACACTGAGCACCCATGTGAGTGCCCAGGATCCGACAGGCTGGAGGGCTGGAGGAAGGAGATCAGCATGACCAGACCCCGTGGAGGCTGCTTCTCTCTCTCACGCCCTCTCTCTCGCATATGCACATACATGCTCTGCCATGAGTGAAAAAAAAAAATAAAAAGAAAAGAAATTTCTTTGGCTCCTGGTTCTGGAGGCTGGGAAGTTCAGGTGCCAGCACATAGGGAGGGCCTTTGCACTGGATCATCCCATGGCAGGAGGTGGAAGAGCAAATGAATGTGCAAAACAGAAAGAGGGAGGAGGCCAGACTTAGCCTTTGATCAGGAGTCTAATCCCGCAAGAAGTAACCCGTCTCGTTCTCAGAGCAAGCAGCCTGTTCTCTCAATAAACTATCCCCCTAATCACCTCTTAAAGGTCCCACCTCCCTGGAAATTACACTCATTTCATTGTAGTATAAGTTTCTGTCACGTGAACTTTGGGGAGCACGTTCAAACCATAGCAGTTATTTACCCTCTCTGAATCTCAGTTTTCTCTGTCCAGTGAGGGTGGTAACAGTACTTAGTTCAGTGGGCTGTTGTGAGGATGAAATGAAAGGAGTGCATTGTAGTGTTTAGCTTAGAACTTGGCCCATAGGAAGGCCTAGGTTTGTTCTGTGTTCATCATCCCCGTTGCAGATGAGGAAATCAGGGCTTACTCAAGGTTGTCCTTCCAGAACACATCTGTGTGGCTACCACCCTGCTCTAGCCAGACCTTTCAGATTTGTAGCTAAGCCTGCAGAGAAAATGGTCTACAAACTACTCCAAACAAAGTAAATAAATTTGTGAAATGGAGATGCCTCTTCCAGGCACAGTGCTTTAGCTGGGTTCTTGCCGCCTAAGCTATGTCAGAAGGTAGTGAGCGCCTCACCTCCAGAGAAGTGTGCTTGGGCCTAGAAGGCCCTTCAATGCCTTAAGCTTGAGATTTCTATGTCCTTACACCCCAAGGATGACTTCTTGTGAGCTTCAGGGCATAGACGGGCAGTTTCTGGCCAAGGGGAAGTGTGGCCAAGGGGAAGTGTGGGCAGCAGTGAGGATGGCCCCACGAAGCCAGTGCCTCTGGCTACAGGGATGTGTTCCTGGGTCCTTCTCCAACTCATGTGGTTTGTGAAATCCATGTAATGGCTCAGCAGAGAAACAACACAAAGTGATATTCCGTAAATAGCAGTGCCCATCATGATCATCACTGTTCGTTTGTTTGTTTCAATGTGACCATCACCCTTTTCTTCTTAGGTGGGGAAAGTAAGAACTAGCAAGGAGAAGTGACCAGCCCAAGGAGTAAGAGGCTCTTTATAGCAGGACCTTAGCAATAATAGAGCAAAGAGTTAGGGACCAAATTTCAAGGTCAGGTGTTGGGAGTGCTGAGTTCTAATTTCATCCTGATGAATTTTCCCTTGTACTGTATGTAAAAGTGCAGTCTCATTTCTTTCTTATTCTGGACCTACCTATACCAAAAAGCTGAATTTTTTAAAAATTTTTAATTTAATTTAAGTTTATTTATGATTATTACGATGATTTAATTTTCTATAGGGCATGTGCACTTACCAGAGAGAAATGAAAGAGAGGGAAATGAGAGAGAGAGAGAAAGTGAGAAAGCAAACCAAACTGCCAGGTCTGGGACTCAAATGGTGGTTGACCATGTGGAGTCCAGTGCCTCAACCACTGCGCCACCTGCTGGCCCTGCTGGATTTTGTTTTAAAATTAATTCAGGCCCAATTGAGAGAAAGAGAGAGAGGCATCTTCCCCAGGGCTTGGTCACACTGTGATCTTCTTCCTGCCCTCTGACCTGACAGGATCATAGGCACATGTGCATATGCCCATCATGTTTTCAAGCCAACCAGGCTGGGGACTCAAGCTGCCATGGAGTCATGTGGCTTCCAGTTCCACAGTCCAGTATGTTGGCTGACTGCACCATGGAGGCTGGACCTCACTTTCATTCTTAACAGTTTTACAGGGTATAAAATTCTTAGCACACCAATTAAATTTTTCCTGTGTCTCGTGGCTCCCATTGTTGCTGTAGTAAAGTTGGCGTAACAGTCTAAATGTCATTCCTCTGCATGTCACCTGTCTGACAACTTTAAAATTTGAGGGATTTTTTTTTTTTTTTTGTCTCTGACACAGATTTTCCTTAATATCTTCCTGCCTGGAGGCTGGCCTCATAGTGCAGTGGTTAAGTGCTATGTGTAGGGAGCTAGAATCCACCTGGCTGATTGCAGGTTTTTGGTTTTTGTTTTTTGCTATAGGGCACATGTGCTTGCCGGAAAGACAGAGAGAGCAAAGAGACAGAGAGACAGAAAGTGAGAAATCAGCTCCCCCACCCCCAGGGGTGATGGCCATGCCACAATCCCTCCTCCAGATCTTGGGATCTTGGGCATGCACATATGTGCCTGGCATGAGTTTTAAGGCACTGAGTTCAGGACTCGAACCACGGTTGACTACATGTGACTCCAGCAATGTAATCATTATACCATCTGTTGGTCTCCACAATCTCTTTTTTTAACAGGGTCTCATAGTAATTCTTTTTTTTTCTCTTTTAGTTTTTGTTTGTTTGTTTGTTTGCTGTAGGGTACATTCATTCACCAAAAAGAGACAGAGAGAGGGAAAGTGAGAAATCACCCTGGTGGGGTGGGGGGGGGTGGCCATGCCACAGTCCCTTCTCCTTCATTCTCCTCTCAGGATTTTGGGCACATATGCACAGGCGCCCAGTGTGCTTTTCAAGCCTCCGGGTCCAGGACTTGAACTATGGTTACTCATGTGGGAGTCCAGTGCCTTAACCACCATGCCGCATACTGACCCCAGTAATCTCCATATCTTTCTACTTCTTTGTTTTATTTATCTCTGATGACTGAGTGCTGGGTAATGTATTTACATCTATCTTTTAGTTCATTGATTTTCCCATCATGTCCGATTTGATGTTTAATAATTCAGAGGTTTTTTTGTGTTTTTGCTTTTGTTTTTATTTTTGATTTGCTATAGGGCGCGTGTGCATGCCTGAGAGAGACACGCACAGAGGGAGGGAGGGAAAGTGAGAAAGCACTCCTCAGGAAGGATGGCCAATCTGCAAACCCTTCTTTTCTGTTCTCTTGGGATTTGGGGCATGCATGTACATGCGCCTGGCATGTTTTTCAAGCCACTGTGTTTGGGACTCAAACCACATAGTCAGCTGTGTGCAATCCATCTGCCTTAACCACCTAGCTGACTCCTGAGTTTTATATGATATAAACTATATATGAAATGATTATAGTTTACAGTTCTATAAATTCTACTTGATTCTTTTTCAAATATGCCTATTTTTATAGTCTACATTCCATGATTGTTTTATTTCTTAATTTAATAGTTATCTTATAATCACTATCCAATAATTTCACTACTTAAAGTCTTTGTAATCTAATAACTCCGCTATTTTAAGTCTTAATTATGCCATTTGCTGCTGTTCTGACTTTCATTATTTCCTTGTGTGTTCAGTAATGTTATAGTATGTATTCATCTTTTGTTCCCCTTTATTTATAGGATTCCTGGGGTTGCATTGGTTGAGGATACTTCCCATTATAGAAAGTTGTATTAACCTGGGAGTGTCACCAAGCTAGACCATTTTAATTTTGGTTTGAGATTTCCTAGTAATATAAATTCAAACTCCAAATGCACATGAAGAAAGGTCTATGCTTTCAAGTTTTCATTTTTGTTTTTTTAACACCTAAAGTGCCTTTACCCAGAATTTCCTTATGCTAATTTTGTCAATAGGCATTTTATTTCTAACATATCTTCAAGATAGGTATGAACTTTCAAGAGCCCCAGCTTTATGTAGGTATCTCAATTTTCATTTTTGCATGGATCCAAGACTTTGTTTCTTTTCCTCCCTTGCAGCCTCGGCTCTGGGTTTCTGGTATCAGCAGTTGATCTCTGTACAAGCGTATGCCCTAGTCAACTTTCACCACAATAATGCTGCAAACAAACCCCGCATAACTGAGTGCCATATAATAACAAGCATTTATTGCTCACACATGTGGGTTCAGCTGCTCTAGGCTAAGTTACCCAGGTCTTGGCTCCAAGTCATTGGTAGGATCTAGGTCTGTTCCGTGTATTTTCCATCTTCTAGGGGCCAGTGGCTTCCTGAGTCATGTGCATCTCATGACGAAGAGTAGGAGTGTAAGAAGGCAAGCCTTCCATACACGTTTTAAGCTTATTTTACACCCTGTCTGCTCACATCCAGTAGGCCAAAGCTCGTCAGTTGGCCACATCCATAGTCTGGAAAAAGGGAGGGTGGGGAACAGACAGTGGTGTGTGCAAGGCAGACCCACATGGGAAAGTTGTTGGATCCAATTGAGAGACCTTCGCATTTACCGGGCACATGCTTGCCCATAATCCAGGTTGGCTGGACCTAAGGGTGAATCACAGCATTAGGACTCTGTTGGGGGTGTTATATCTCTGTTTTTCCTATCTCCAGCTCTTCCACTCATAGAATGAATGGATAAACTTTAAAATTAAAAATAAATTTTTTTTCTTTTAAATGGGGCCAACAGTGGCATAGTGGTTGAGGCAGCTGGATCGCACATGGCTGACTGCATGGTTCGAGTCCCTGACCTGGTGACTTGAAAAATGCTCTGGGCATGTGTGCGTGTGTACCCAAAATCCCAAGAGGAGAATGGAAAAGGGACTGTGGAGTGGCCATCCCCTCTGTGGGGTGCTTCGTCACCTTCCCTCTGTCTCACTGGCTAACGTATGTACTCTATTGCTAAAATCTTTTTAATAAGAAGAACAGGAGGAAGTACTCTGCTCCTTTGGAGGTGTAGGAGGGGGAGTGAATATTTGCTGAACAGTAACCTGATCTATATTTTTATCTTCCTTTTTACTTCCCACTTAAGTTTCACATCTTTTTTCATGTTTAGTGCTTGGAAATTTCCCTTCCTTTCTTGGAACTTGGGCTCAGCATTCTAAACATTTGCTTTGTTTTTATTCAGCATTTAGGTATTTGTGGAATGAGGGTTTGTCTACCACGTTATACAAGCATACATCACCCAGAGCTTATCAACAAAGCCAGGTCCCCAACACAGTGTCCAGAATACAGACTTCTCTCACTTTTGATCACACTATTGTTGCCCTTCAAGTAAATGCCCTCTTAGTACAGTATTTTTCACATTGTTGACCATGACCACAATAAGAAATTCCTTTTTTTTTTTTAACTGTTGCTGTCGGATGTGTGTGCTCATTAGAGAAAAACAGAGAGAGAAGGAAAGTGAGAACTCCCCCTCGGGGGGTTGGGCACACCAGAATCCCATCTCTCTGCTCTCCTTGGGGACCTTGCAGATGCACCTTGCATGTTGCTCAAGCCTCCATGTCTTGAACTGTGGAGTCAGACATGTAAGATGCAGGGGCTTTAACCACAATGCCACCTCAGAGGCCCATCTCCTGGTCATTTTATTTATTTGTTTATTTTTACCATAGGGCATGTACTGTCACCAGAGAGGGAGAAAGAAAGAGAGGGAAAGTGAGAAATCTCCCATTTTTTATTATAGCTTAGTATATATATTTGTAATCCATAAGATACTAACCCCTGCTAAGTGGATGCAAATATTTTCTATTTCATTTTTTAATTGCTGGTCCTGATACTAAACTAACTTGACAGGTTACCAATGGGTCATAACCTACAGTGTGAAACACACTGATCTAGTGAATTTTTTTAATCATTTCCTCTTCCCTATTATAAATACTGGGACATGTCTATTCCCCCACACCCCCATAGGGCATGTGTACTCACTGGAGAGAAAGAAAGAGGGAAAGTGAGACATCACCCCCCAGAGGTGATGGCCAAGCTACAATCCCTTCTCCTCTATTCTCCTCATGGAATTTTGGGCATGCACATACCCGTGTCCAGCGTGACTTTCAGGCTACTGGGTTTGGGACTCAAACCATGGTCGGCCATATGGAAATCCAGGACCTTAACCACCACATTATCTGCTGGTGCTGGAATAAGTCTACTTATCTCTTTACAAGGGAAAGTGAATTCATTTGAGATGTCTTTTCACCTGGCTTATAAATTTCTCTGTGGTCTATGGCTTAGGCCAGCCTCTGCTGCGACCTAGTTCCTTTCTGCACACCGAACATGCATTGAACCTGCACTCCGGGCACGCACAACCCAGTGCCAGACCAGCAGGCATACTGGTAGGTTAGTGCTCAGTTCTTAAAGAAATGATGCCATGAGACTTCAGTCTAGACAAGTTCTTAGCCTGGATCCGAATTAGAGTAAGCTCCTTGCAGGTTATAAGATGATCAGTAGCGGCTGCAGAGAAGATACCTCTGAGCAGGGGAAGAGAGTGAGGGGAGAAGGAGGCCAGGAGATGTTTGCAATTTATCTCAGCAGAAATAGGGAGCCACTGATGGGTTTGGGGCCAGGTAGAGTAACAAGACAGATGAAGGTTTAGTGAAAGTTAATGAGACAAATTCCATGAGTCATTCCTTAAACACCATGTATTAAGCACTGTCTATATTTCAGGCATAGTTCTAGGCATTCTAGTTATGTTGGTGAACAGAACAGACAAGCATCCTGCCTCCTAGAACGTCTAGCCCCGGTGGCAGGGATTGTAGGTGAGGAAGTCAAGCTCACATCGCTTAAAAACCACATAGTGTGTTGGGAGATAAGTGAGAAAGAGCAAAGTGGGGAAATTGGGAGTGGGGTGCATCAGGTGGGGAGTCCAGAAAAGGGGTGTGCGGTGAGGCTGAGCTCCGGCAGCGGCAGTGGGAGGGGCAGGGTGGCAGGCTATCAGCCTCATACTCCTGTTCTCCTTTCAGAAACACGATGCACAACATCCGTGGCAACAAGCAGGCCCAAGGAACAGGCCACGGGCCTTCAGGGGAAGAGCCTCGGCAGAACAGGGAGTGTCAGAGGGAGGAACAGCCCCAGATTTCTGACCCGGGTACCCCAGGTGAGCCACTGTCTGGGCCTGAACTACCTTCAGAGACCAACCCCTGTGAATGTGTGTGTGTGTGTGTGCGTGTGTGTGCGTGTGTGTGCGTGTGTGTGCGTGTGTGTGCGTGTGTGTGCGTGTGTGTGCGTGTGTGTGCGTGTGTGTGCGTGTGTGTGCGTGTGTGTGCGTGTGTGTGCGTGTGTGTGCGTGTGTGTGCGTGTGTGTGCGTGTGTGTGCGTGTGTGTGCGTGTGTGTGCGTGTGTGTGCGTGTGTGTGCGTGTGTGTGTCTGTCTGTCTGTCGGGACAGCTAGAACAAAATACTGTGGACTATGTGGCTTGAAAAACAGAAGACATTTATTTATCCCAGTTGTGTGGAGGCCAGGAAGTCCAGGACCACGGTGCTGGTGGACCTGGTATCTGCCAGGGGCCGCTCCCTGGCTTCCAGATAGCTGCCTTCAGGCTACATCATCACATGACCAGACGAGAGAGCTCTGGTGTCTTTTTCTTCTGGTCAGGTCAGGAATCCTACTATGGGGGCCACACCCTCCTGAATTCATCTAAATCTAATGACCACAAAGGCCTCACCTCCTGATACAGTCACTGGGGGGATAAGGGCGTCCACGTGTGAGTATGGGGACAGGCCACAGCAGCATGTCAGAGACAGACTCTCCAGTTCGCACCTCCCAGGCCTCCAGAGGACTAGGAGCGCGGGATTTGTGTGTGTGTGAGTTAAAATATACTTAACAAAATTTAGCATGTTACCATTTTCAGGTTTATATTCGGTCGTCGGGAAAGTCATGACATATTTTTTCGTAGAAAAACAGAAAAATATGTCGTGACTTTCCTGACAACCGGATAGTTCAGTGCCGTAAAGCACATTCACATCGTTGTGCAGCCCTCACCATCTCCAGAACATGTTCATCAGTTCATCTTCCCAAACGGAAATGACTGGCAGTGATCCTTGAGTTCTAAAGGAAAATCTCTCTCTAGTTGTATTTTTTTCTTTACTTCTTTCTTACTTTTTTTTTTTTAATTAATAGGGAAAGGGTATAAAAATACCTGTCTTAGGAGGGCCAGACAGTGGCACAGTGATTAAGTGATACATGGGAATATTCTGGCTCATGTCTGGAGACCCCCGAAATTCACCAAGCGCACACGCGCCCATTATCCAGCCCTGGTGGGGGCTGGAGTGGATCATGGCATAAAATCCAGCTGGGGGAGGGGGGACCAGCAGTTGGTGTAATTGCTATGTCACTGGACTCCCATGTAGTCAACCGCAGTTCGAGTCCCGGACCTGGTGGCTTAAACTCATTCTAGGCTCATGTGCGTGTGTGCCCAAGATTCCGAGAGGAGAATGGAGAATGGATTGTGATGTGGCCATCCCCCCAGGGGGTAATTTCTCGCTTTCTGTCTTGCTCTGTCTTTCTGGCAAACACACACGCCCTATGGCAAAAACCTCTCAAAAAAAAAAAAAATCCAGTTGGGGGTGGTATCTCTGTCTGGCTCATGGAAGAGACAAATATACTTTATAAAAAAGGCCTGGTGGGGGCTAACTGGTGGCAACTAGATCACAAATGGCCTACTATACAGTTCGTGTCTCAGATCCAGAGGCTTGGAAAACACGCCGGGCACATGTGCATGTGTGCCAAGATCCTGAGAGGAGAATGGAGGAGAAGAGACTATGGCATGGCCATCCCCACTGGGCCGTGATTTCTCTCTCTCTCTCTCTCTCTCTCTCTCTCTCTCTTTCTCTGATGAGTGCATGCTCCCTGTGGCAAAAATCTAATTTTAATAAAAGGAAGCAGAATTTTTTCCAGCACTAAGGGCTGGAGCCTCATAACAGGCCTGGAATGTCCCATGTGTGAAAGCTCCTCCATGTCCCTTGACCACATAATCAGGCCATAGAGTATCCCTGATGGAGGATCCACAAGCCACACCCAGTCTCACCAGCCCACATCACAGGCATGTGTCTGTGTGTCCAGCATCCTCAGGGAGTCCGGGTACATGACCCCAGGACCTTTCCCATGTGGGTCTAGTTGCATTACTTCTATGCTATCGCCTGGCCTGAAACATTTTAACCTAGAAACAGGTGGTAGGAAACTAAGGCAGCATTGTGGGGGCTCATTAGCAGAGAGGCCCTCTAAGCTGTGCAGAAGTGAGTCTGGAAAAATGGCCTTTTAGAGCAGCTGATACCTGAGGACGTCCTCAGAGATCACAGTGAACAGCCCGGAGGTGAGTGTGGGGTTAAATCGATAAGAGTAGGAATACAACTAGCACTTGCATAGCAGTTATCTGTGCCAGGCGGCACTAAGCACTTTTTCTTTGGTAACAACTTTTTAGATATAATTCACATATCCCATAATTCACCCATTTGAAGTGTGTATTTCAGAGACTTTCAGTATATTGAGCTGAGCAGCCGTCACCACGATCAATTTTTAGAATACTTTATTACCCTAGAAAGAAACCCTGCACCCCTTAGCCCTCAACCCCAACCCCCTCCTCCCTCCAAGCACTAATCTGCTCTGCCTAGAGGGATGTGCCTGCTCTGGGCCTTTCTTGTGACCAGAATCTACACTGTGTGGACCTTTGTGACTGGCTTTTCGCTTCGCATGTGCTTCCCAAGTCCTACCCATGTGCAGTAGGCACTTGACCTCTGCTAGCCTACGCCATCCCGATGGCGGCCAGAACTGCAGATCCTTGTCACCCTCGTTGGATAAGTGAGGGAACTGAGGCAGGAAAAGTGGACTGACTTGCTCATAGCCACACAGTAAGTGTCAGAGAAGCATTCAGGCTGCTGCCTGAAGCCTCTTTTTCTAAGTCAGCCATTTTTCTCCCTATATCTGTATTGCATTGAAACCCGTCCCCCAAAGCAAAATCTAACACAGAGAGCACAGAGAGCCGCAGAGTCAAGGCCAGTGGGAGTCTGGGTTCCTCCTCTTCTTCCCCTTCCAGTTAGCCGTGAGACACTCCCATGAAATCCTAGGGCCCTGACTAAAATCTACCATCTCAGGCCTCGTTTTCTCCAACTCTAAAGTACGCACAGTAGTTCCTACCCTGCCTATCCTCAGGGTTGGTGGACAGGTTAGCTAGACTCTGATTGCAGAGTCTAACCAGATTCTGCTTAGATCTGGAACGAGACCATTCTCTTCTTGCCCCCAGCCAGGCTGAAGAATGTCTGATTCTTGGGACCAGCAGTTAGCATAATGGCTATGTCGCTGGACTCCCATGTAGTCGACCATGGGTCCTGGGCCTGGTGGCTTAAACTCACGCCCGACGCATGTGCATGCATGCCCAAGATTCCAAGAGGAGAATGGGGGAGAAGGGATTGTGGCGTGGCCA